GACCCCAACGTGCCCCCATAACCCCTACCTCACCATCCGAAAGAAAGCCCGCGAGTTTTTCTTTCTCACATGACCCCTTGCTCTCGGGGTGCGCCCACACCGGCCCAAGCAACCTTCACCTTCCCCCCCCCCCCGACCCTAACCCATGTTCCGCGTCGAAATTTCTGCCACGACCACCCCAACAAGGCACTCAATCTGACAGAGAGCTTTCAAAAAACAAAAAATCATGAAAAAAAAACGGAAGACGACACCGATGATGGAGGGATGGGGAGAACAACGATGAAAAGAGGGGGAGATCGACGACGAGGAAGGGAAGGAGGAGATCGATAGCGAGGGAGGAGGGGGAAGGGAGAAGGGCAGAGAGAGGACGACGTCGATGATGAAAGGGGGAGGGGGACGACAGTGATAGAGGGAGGAGGAGATCGATGACATGGGATAGTGAGGGAGGAGTGGGAAGGGAGAAGTACGGAGGGAGGACTACGCCGATGATGGAGGGAAGGGGAGGACAACGACGTAGGGAGGAGGAAATCGATGATGGGGGAGGGAATGGAGGAGGGAGGTGAAGATCGATTGTGATGGAGGATGGGGAAGGGAGAAGTACGGAGGGAGGACGACAACGATGACGAAGGGGTCAGGGGGAGGACAACGACGGAGGGAGGAGGAGATCAATGAGGAGGGAGGGAATGGAGGGTGGAGGAGGAGATCGATAGCGAGGGAGGATGGGGAAGGGAGAAGAGCGGAGGGAGGACGACACTGCTAATGGAGGGAAGGGGAGGACAACGGCGGAGGGAGGAGGAGATCGATAGCGAGGGAGGACGGGGAAGGGAGAAGGGCCCTTGCAGCGCCCGTGCGCGTGCCCGACCAGCAGCGCCCATGCAGACACTTGCGCAGCAACGCAGCAGTGTGTCCGCATTGCCTGCCTAGGCCAGAATATCTCCCCCTGGGCTGGCCTCTTTCCTTTATGAAAAGTGGAGCTCCTGTGTGTGTCTGCGAGGGTTGGCCACATTCTCATTGGCTCGCGGAGATTGTGTGACGACAATGCTGCTTTCTCCTTCATCTGTGGCCGCTGCGTGATGTATCGGCCTCATGCTGCGTGTGCCGAGGGCACAACTACTCGGCCTTGGGCTCAACATTACAACGCAGTCCTTGTTTTTTGGAAAGAGCCTAGAGGCTCACGTTTCCCTGCAACCGCCTGGCGTGCTGCAATTGTCTGTGTACCCATATATGGAAAATGTCGAAAATAAGCCTCTTGTGGATATTCAGGCCCGCTTTCACTTAGGGCGGGCACAAGGTTTGTTGGGG